AACTCCAGCCCGTGGCTAGCGCGACGGGCTGGAGTTTTGAGACTCTATGACCGGGTTCAATCCCGGCGGGGTATGGTTTATTTGCAATCGTGTCATTACGATTTCTTAAATCAAGTATACAATATGATGTAGGGCGAAATGACAGTAGTTTGTTGATATGTATTGGGAGATAAAACTGTTAGTAGACTTCAGGATGTACATGTTTATAGAGGGGCACAGATATATCAGATACTTTTATTGTAGTACACTGAGAGTAAAAGGTAGATGATACAAGGAGAACAGAAGCATCAGGGAAGAGAGAGTGAAGGTTATAAACTAAAAGAGGAGCAGTAGGGTTAGATATAAACAGCTATTGGAGGATAGATGGGCTATGAGAGCATAGGCAATGGGGTTGAAGAGGTATGGGGTAGGTTTAAAATGTAGTGTTGGAGTGTCAGCAGAAGTTTGTGGTTACAGGAAGGTGGGTGCGGGAGGGAAGAGGAGCGATTGGTGGAATGATGATGTAAAGAGAGTAGTAAGGGAGAAAAAGTTAGCATATGAGAAGTTTTTACAAAGTAGAAGTGATGCAAGGAGGGAAGAGTATATGGAGAAAAAGAGAGAGGTTAAGAGAGTGGTGAAGCAATGTAAAAAGAGAGCAAATGAGAGAGTGGGTGAGATGTTATCAACAAATTTTGTTGAAAATAAGAAAAAGTTTTGGAGTGAGATTAAGAAGTTAAGGAAGCCTAGAGAACAAATGGATTTGTCAGTTAAAAATAGGAGAGGAGAGTTATTAAATGGAGAGTTAGAGGTATTGGGAAGATGGAGGGAATATTTTGAGGAATTGTTAAATGTTGATGAAGATAGGGAAGCTGTGATTTCGTGTATAGGGCAAGGAAGAATAACATCTTGTAGGAGTGAGGAAGAGCCAGTTGTGAGTGTGGGGGAAGTTCATGAGGCAGTAGGTAAAATGAAAGGGGGTAAGGCAGCCGGGATTGATGGGATAAAGATAGAAATGTTAAAAGCAGGTGGGGATATAGTTTTGGAGTGGTTGGTGCAGTTATTTAATAAATGTATGGAAGAGGGTAAGGTACCTAGGGATTGGTAGAGAGCATGCATAGTTCCTTTGTATAAAGGCAAAGGGGACAAAAGAGAGTGCAAAAATTATAGGGGGATAAGTTTGTTGAGTGTACCTGGTAAAGTGTATGGTAGGGTTATTATTGAAAGAATTAAGAGTAAGACAGAGAACAGGATAGCAGATGAACAAGGAGGCTTTAGGAAAGGTAGAGGGCGTGTGGACCAGGTGTTTACAGTGAAACACATAAGTGAACAGTATTTAGATAAGGCTAAAGAGGTCTTTGTGGCATTTATGGATTTGGAAAAGGCATATGACAGGGTGGATAGGGGGGCAATGTGGCAGATGTTGCAGGTGTATGGTGTAGGAGGTAGGTTACTGAAAGCAGTGAAGAGTTTTTACGAGGATAGTGAGGCTCAAGTTAGAGTATGTAGGAAAGAGGGAAATTATTTCCCAGTAAAAGTAGGCCTTAGACAAGGATGTGTGATGTCACCGTGGTTGTTTAATATATTTATAGATGGGGTTGTAAGAGAAGTAAATGTGAGGGTCTTGGCAAGAGACGTGGAGTTAAAAGATAAAGAATCACACATGAAGTGGGAGTTGTCACATTTGCTCTTTGCTGATGACACTGTGCTCTTTGGAGATTCTGAAGAGAAGTTGCAGAGATTGGTGGATGAATTTGGTAGGGTGTGCAAAAGAAGAAAATTAAAAGTGAATACAGGAAAGAGTAAGGTTATGAGGATAACAAGAAGATTAGGTGATGAAAGATTGGATATTAGATTGGAGGGAGAGGGTATGGAGGAGGTGAATGTATTCAGATATTTGGGAGTGGACGTGTCAGCAGATGGGTCTATGAAAGATGAGGTAAATCATAGAATTGATGAGGGAAAAGGGTGAGTGGTGCACTTAGGAGTCTCTGGAGACAAAGAACTTTGTCCTTGGAGGCAAAGAGGGGAATGTATGAGAGTATAGTCTTACCTATGCTCTTATATGGGTGTGAAGCATGGGTGATGAATGTTGCAGCGAGGAGAAGGCTGGAGGCAGTGGAGATGTCATGTCTGAGGGCAATGTGTGGTGTGAATATAATGCAGAGAATTCGTAGTTTGGAAGTTAGGAGGAGGTGCGGGATTACCAAAACTGTTGTCCAGAGGGCTGAGGAAGGGTTGTTGAGGTGGTTCGGACATGTAGAGAGAATGGAGCGAAACAGAATGACTTCAAGAATGTATCAGCCTGTAGTGGAAGGAAGGCAGGGTAAGGGTTGGCCTAGGAAAGGTTGGAGGGAGGGGGTAAAGGAGGTTTTGTGTGCGAGGGGCTTGGACTTCCAGCAGGCATGCGTGAGCGTGTTTGATAGGAGTGAATGGAGACAAATGGTTTTTAATACTTGATGTGCTGTTGGAGTGTGAGCAAAGTAACATTTGTGAAGGGGTTCAGGGAAACCGGCAGGCCGGACTTGAGTCCTGGAGATGGGAAGTACAGTGCCTGCACTCTGAAGGAGGGGTGTTAATGTTGCAGTTTAAAAGCTCTAGTATATAGCACCCTTCTGGCAAGACAGTGATGGAGTGAATGATGGTGAAAGTTTTTCTTTTTCGGGCCACCCTGCCTTGGTGGGAATCGGCCAGTGTGATAATAATAATAAAAATTAAAGCTGAGATTATGAGAAGCCATCTGGATAAGCATAATCTGATTAATGATACTGAGCATGGATTCATGAGAGGCCGGTCTTGTCTAACTAATTTACTAAATTTCTTCCGTAAAGCTTTGAGGCTGTTGATCAAGACAAAGAATTTGATATTGTTTATTTAGATTTTAGTAAGGCTTCTGATAGAGTACTGCACCAAAGACTGTTAAAGAAAGTGGCAGCTCATGGCATTGGGGGAAAAGTGCTGTCATGGATAGAGTCATGGCTCACAGACAGGAAGCAGTGTGTCCATAAACGGGGTTAAATCCAAGTGGGGATCTGTAACAAGGCCCGTTGTTGTTCATAATATATATCAATGATCTTGATGATGGTATTACTAGCGATATGAGCAAATTTGCGATGACATAAATATAGATAGGATAATTGGTTCAAACATAGATGTCAGGGAACTTCAGGAGGATTTAGACAAACTCAATAACTGGTCAGAAAAGTGGCAGATGCAGTTCAGCGTAGATAAGCGCAAGGTTCTGAAGCTTGGGAGTGTCCACAACCATAGCACTTATAAGTTAAATTATGTAGAACTTAGCCATACAGATTGCAAAAAGGACTTGGGGGTTATGATAAGCAGCAACCTTAAACTGAGACAGCAATGCCTAAGCATACTGACAGTGAAAGGGTTAATGCTCTGATTCCAAAAAGCATGAAGTAGGTTTTGTCTATATTGAGAGTAATTTGTTGGTCGTCATCCAGTTTGATATTTTATATAGCTCGCTGTTTACAGTTTTATAGGTATAGTAGAGTTGTTAGGTAAGACACATATGCAACAGTGGTGTCATCTGTGAACAGAACAGGTCTAAGGAGTTGCAATGCATTAAGGAGGTCACTGATGTAAATAAGAAAGAGTAGAGGATCTACAACACTTCCCTGTGGCACTCCAACAACTACAGGCTGAGTATTGGATGTCATGCCATTTGTGTATACATACTGGTGTCTACCACTAAGATAAGATTTTAGATAATTGAGAGAATGTCCTCTGACCCTGTAAGATACTGTGATCTGCTGTATCAAATGCTTTTTGTATGTCTATGAAGACCTAATATCAAATGAGAACGAGAAACTGTGAATACAACCGTAAAAACCATACGAAAATACACAGCAAAGTCGATGTTTTAATCCAAAATACACAGGTGCATTTTTTCTCATTATGCATTGCATGCTGCAGGATTTGTTTTGTATGGTGCACACTTACCACATAGCTGCATCCTTTCATATCTAGGCCCAAATGTACCACTCACAGCCAATCTGAGTGAGCTGAGCTCATGTAGATCTACAGCTGGGACCCTAAAAGGATTAACCTTTTCATTGTTGGTCCCATTGTATCATGGCTTTGAAGCCAATGTTAGTCCCTTAGTATGATGCCATGAGCTCAGCTTACTTAGATAAGCTGTGACTGGTAAATTTGGGCCTAGATATGAGATAATATGTCCATGTGGTAAGTGTGCACTATATAAAAAAATCCTGCAGCATGTAGTACATAATGAGAAAAAACTGCGACTGTATTTTTGGTGTAAAACAGCAACTTTGTGGTGTATTTTCATATGGTTTTTATGGATATATTCTCAGTTTTTTGGTCTCATTTGATAGAATGGAAGATATATTACAAAAATAAAGATGCTTTTGATTGGTTTCAGAGCAAAAAGTTCCTTGAAATTAAGCTCAAATTACTGGAAATGTTCGATTTTTGCCAATGTTCAAGGGTAAACAAACCACGTACATATCCAATACATGTCAAATGGCTGGTCCAATATGTGGCCACAAATGGGTTGATATTATTTATAAAATGATTATAATAATGCAGTAGTCAACGTAAAAACAAATCTTCTATTTTTTGTGTAAATAAAAATTCAGAATCAAAAGCAAGCGTAATATATGAGGGGCCTTGGAGATGTGACTAATGAACAGAAAAAATGTTATTTTAGTATCAGGAATGTCTGTATTGTTTATTCTGGACACTATTTTGAAATTGGCATCTCCTGAAATTTGTGTGAAATTGGAGAAATTATCAATTTCTGATCACTTTATTGGGTAATTGTAATAGGTAAATGGGTGGTTTCTTGCACTCAATGGACAGAATGGAAGGAATACTAGCAAAATAGATATGAGTTTGGTTGACAGGACACTGGAACTGGCCACAAATAGGGCATAAATTGGGCAAAATCACCAATGCGTAAATATCGCCGAGACCACTAACTTTGTGTGAGCATAATTCCACAAGTTTTCTACCAAATTTCGTACTTTTGGTTTCACTACTTTCAGAAAAAGTGTCTATAATTTCATGAGAATTTTTTTTTTTTCAATTCTTCAACACTGGGAGCAAGTTTGCAAGCAGGGGTTGCAACAGTGAAAGGGTTAACCAACTTGTCTTGATTTTAAGGGTAGCATGAGATGGTCAGCTGTTGGGTTAAGTATATTGTAACCTAACCACTCTGTAATCCAGCAAAATCACTAATCCGGCACCCTACAGATCCCAATGATGCCGGATTAGTGATAGTCAACCTATATTGCATTAGGAATGGATAACACTGTATAATACAGCACTTTATAATCTTGCATCAATAATATATGACGCATAGTTTCATCAGTGTCTAAGAGTGTTATATTACTAATTTATTAAAAAAAACAAACAAATTTATGTTAAGATAAGCTTCAAGAAAAAATGTAGTTAATTACTGCCAAGTAAAACCAAACAATATTCTCCACTAACCATTAAAATCAACAGCATTAGCATAGATGCCATGACTTTCGACCAAACTCCTAATATCAGGTGCCAGCCAGAGAGGTCCTACATCAGCCAACATAACAGAGGCAGCGTAGTGCAAGAGAGAGCGACCATGCTGGTCCTGTATTGTGCCTGGTAGACTGTAAGCACGAAGTAGTACATCTACACCACCTGCATAACGGTACTGTCCACCACTTGCTGCTGCAAACACTGCATCTATCTTCTTTGTATGGGCCTATTATATAAAGCAAAATTAGTTCGCTTACAACAAAATACAAAAAATTTTGTAGCAGGTAAATTTGCAAAATCTCATCCTCAGTATATAAATACAATACAGTAGATCCCCGGATATTGGCCGGCGCAGATATCGGCCAAATCAGTTTTCGGCTGCTTTTTCAGCCGAAATTCTATCCATGATTTTGGCCGGCAACTCGGAAATCAGCCATATTGGATGCGTCTGCCCACCACTCCGCCGCGTTCATGAGTCAGTCTGGCTGTGTCTCTGGGTGAGTGAGCAACACTCCACGCATTCATCCAAATATTTTGTTATAATTCATTGCTTTTTGTGGTTGTTTATTAAGTGCGACTGCAAAATAAGTCACCTTGGGCCCAAAGAAAGTTCCTAGTGCCAGCCCTTTGGTGAAGAAAGTGAGAAACACAATAGAATTTGGTGACAAAACCTCGTCCCACTTCAGGCAAATCTTAGAGAGATGCCAGAAATATACCTCTCTGGACAGTTTTTTTGTGTGACAGGGGTGCAGTGACTCTCAAGCTGGTCCTAGTGCCAGTAAAAGACAAAGAAGGGAGGTAACCCTGGATAGGGACTTGATACCTGAAGTCCTAATGGAGGGGGATTCCCCTTCCAAACAATAACCCCAACTCCCTCTCCCCTCCTCGCCTTCTTCAATATGCCAACAAGAGTCTTCAATAAAGCTATGTAATGCTCATGTATCATTAAAATTTGTGCTTTATATTTATTTCTCATTGTTTTCTGTATGTAAAACTACAGTTAATCTTTAAAAAATGTATTTTTTGCTAATATTTTTGGGTGTCTGGAACGGATTAATCATATTTACATTAATTCTTATGGGAAATATTACTTCACCTTTTGGCCTTTTCGGATTTAGGCAGACCTTCTGGAACAGATTATAGCCAAAATCCAGGGTTCCACTGTAGTTGTTATACTTTTCATTGCTGTACAACTCACACTTATAAATTAAGCCTGTTTTGTATTTCTTTGTCTCTGACTACCTAATGACAGAGACAGAATTGTAGAATTGTGTCATTTACAAAAGAGTACACTTAATATTCATTAGTCAGTAAGAATTTGTGCCCATGAAACAAAAGGCACACAAGTGCTTGAAGCATTTAACTAAGAACATACAATTGAATATCTCAAACTTGGTGTATAATATACACTTCTGAGTCTGCCTTTTTTAATAGTATGGTAGTTAACTTCACAAGTGTAAAGATATTTATTTACCATTTTACATTATCATAAAGAAAACTAAGATAATACCACTTACTTACATGATATTAAAAATCCTCTAATAGCTAGCTTTTATACCTTGGGTTGACTGAATATAGAAAGTAACTAGGTAACCCATATAAGCTTCAAACCCAAACCCATATAAGCTTCAAACCCATATAAGCTTCAAACATGATCTTGTACCAAAGTGAAAACATTACTTGTAAAACACCCAGAATCATATCATTGTGTGGAACATCTGGCTGCTTATTCATAAAGCCTTCTAGCACTCGTAGGACATTACTGTGACCTCGACGATGAGCTTCTTCGTAAGGTGAGGTGTCCCAGCCATCAAGTGTCACCTGGGGACTTGGACTTAGTGTTGCTAATACTTGCTCCACCTCTTCTTGTTCTCCTGATGCTACTGCATTCCACAGTCTCAGAGGTGCCTGCATAAAACTTTTGAATTGTAACAAATCTACTATAATGTATTCCAATAAAAACTAGAACTGCATTATCAGAAATTGAAGTTTTCAAAATATTTCAAAAGAGGCAGAGCTACATGAAGGAAATCTGGGATTAAGAGAGGACTGAGTCATGGTTTGATAAGTTTGTAAGTACAATAACTGAGTTTCTTTTATAATTAGACATACCTCTCTTGCACACGTAGTTGAAATAAATGTTGTTTATTACACTCAAGTAAAAATAATGTGGAATTATAATTTAGAATATGGATTTCTTCATGCAACAAGATGAGCAATAACCACCTGGTACAATCTCTGGGCACATTTCTGTATGACTATGGGTATATTGGTCTTAATGGATTATTGAATACAGAAATTAATATTGGCTGTTAAGATGTTTTTTTTCACATTTACTACAAAATCCTCCTTAGCAATCATGTATCAATGATAACATCAGACCAGAAGCACACACTCCAAGCGCAATGAAAACCATGAAAACAGTTTTATGATTTTTCTTGAAATTCTGACTATAGTTTTAGAAGTATTTGTAAAATGGAATTACTTTTGGAAGAGCACTCAATGCTTATCATAGAGTATTTGATATCCTAATTGATAAATGGGTAGTACAGACTATCACTAACCCAACATCATCGGGACCTGTAGGGTGCCAGATTAGTGATGGAACTGGATTAGAGATTGTCTGATTAGTGATGGCCGACCTGTATCTATAATTCCACAGTAATGATTAAGTGAGTTTCTTACAGCAGACTTGGGATCCTCAGTGTTGATCAAGGAGACAGACCTCATCAAGAGAGGTCTTCTCATAGGCTGCAGTTGTATCTCCAGGTCCTCCTGGATTGCTTCTGATATCAAGTTTATACCACCTAGGTATTTCTGAAGAACAAGTAGATTTTTTAGAATTTAAAAATTATAGAAAAATAATTTCTTTTTCAATACAGTCTGATAATACAGTCCTTAATAACTATATAAAAACTTTGTAATTTTCTATAATAATTTTAAGGTCATAATACTTAACCCTTTCAGGGTCCAGAGGCCAAATTTCAAAGTGTGTACCAGGGTCCAAGAATTTTCAAAAAACAATTTTGTTATTTTTTCCTATGAAATGGTAGAGAATCTTTTTCTGAAGGTGATAAAACAAAAAGTACAAAATTTGATGAAAAACTGGCGAAATTATGCTCTCACAAATTTTGATGTGTCGGTGATATTTACGCATTGGTGATTTTGTCGTCTTTGACTCCATTTTAGGCAAATTACAGTATTCCAGTCACCCAAATTCTTAGCTATTTCACTAGTATTACTTCTGTTCTATCAATTGAGCACAAGAAATCGCCAAGTCAACTGTTTCAACAAGAAAATAAAGTGACCGGAAATTGGTAATTTGGCCAATTTAATGCAAAATTCAAAATATTCCAATTTCAAAATAGGGTCCAAAATAAACAATGCAGGCATTCCTGGCACTAAACTAACATTTCCTCTGTTCATTAGTTATGTTTTCAGGCTTTACAAATGAATTCCATTTTGATTTTTTATTCACATAATGAATTTTTATTCAAACCAAAAAATAGAAGATTTATTGTTATGCAATACTGTAATAATTGTATAAATAATATCACCACAATTGTAAATGTATATTAGGCCCACCAGCTGTCATGTATTAGACTTGTGAGGTCATTCATTTATCCTTGAACATCGGAAAAAATTAAAATTTCTGCTAGTTTGAGCTCAGTTTCAAGCCATTTCCAGTGTTAAAACCAATCAAAATAATCTCTATTTCTGTAGTATATCTTCCATTCTATCAAATGAGACCAAGAAATTGCAAATACAACTATAAAAAACATACAAAAACACTGGAAAGTCACTGTTTTAATCGAAAATTACGGTCTCAGTTTTTTTCTCTCATTATGTACTGTGTGCTACAGGATTTGTTTTATGTGGTACACACATATCACAGAAATGTATTCTCTCATATCTAGGCCCAAATTTACTGATCACAGCTTATCAGAGTGAGCTGAGCTCATGGCGTAGATCTATGGTTTGGACCCTGAACGTAAAGCCGTAGATCTACGGCACAGACCCTAAAAGGGTTAAATTAGATGTTGTTAACACATTAGTTTAAGAATGAAATTCACATATCTGTTAAGTAGACCATTTACTTATTCTACTATCCACAGCTTAACCATTCACAAATTTCAAGTTTTCTTTAACATACTGCCCGTCTCCTGCCTAGGCAGAGTGACCCTGCCATCATTCATTCAATCGCTGTCTTGCCATGTTATGACATCATAGTTAGGTATCATCCTCTGAACTGTAACATCCTTATGCCTCCTTTAGAGTACAGGCACAGTTAGGGTGACTCCTATGAACTGTAACATCCTCACCCCTCCTTTACAGTAAAGGCACAGTTAGGGTGACCCTCTTAACTGTAACATTCTCACCCTGCCTTTAGAGTGCAAGCACAGTTAGGGTGACCCTCTGAACTGTAACATCCTCACCCCTCCATTAGAGTACAGACACAGTTAGGGTGACATTCTCACCCCTCCTTCAGAGTGCAAGCACAGTTAGGGTGACCCTCTGAAATGTAACATCCTCACCCCTCCTTTAGAGTACAAGCACAGCTAGGGTGACCCTCTGAACTGTAACATCCTCACGCCTCCTTTAGAGTGCAGGCACAGTTAGGGTGACCCTCTGAACTGTAACATCCGCCTTGTGGGTCAGTGGGGAAGACTTCTCGCCATCCCCTTCCACCCCCGACACTTCCACCACCACCATCCCAGCCTTCATGAATACATGTTCAGTTCCATTCTATCTTAGGAGCTAGCTGTTTGTGAATTGTGCTTTGATCTTTTAATTACTGTATCTTGTATCTGCCAAGCAATCATGGCACTCAGTAGGTCTACCAGTGTTGCTAAAAGTGGCAAGATAAGGTATAAGCATTTAAGTCTTCAAGTTAATGAAGAAAACAGAGATATTAGACAAGAGATAGCCTGTGGCTGTAATAGAGCTAATTTGTGCAATTAAAAAGAATGAGGTAAATATATGAGTTTGTGATGAATAACTGACTGACTTACTTGACTGACTTATTTGACTGATTTATTTGGCTGACTTGACTGACTGACTTGACTGACTTACTGACTGACTGACTGACTTACTGACTGACTTACTTGACTGATTTACTGATTTACTGACTTGACTGACTGACTGACTTAATGTTAGACTTTTTCAAGAAGAGGGCCCTGAAAGGGTGTCTAGAGCAGCTGATGCCTTACCATCAGTTGTATGATGTGCAGTGTGAGTAAAAATAGAACAGAAATCCATTACAGAATTTGTGCACACTTCAGTACAACCACTGACTTCAGTACCAGAACCTCTACCATCCACCTCAGCCCAGTAGGACCACAACATAACTCTCCACTCTCTTCACAATCATCCACAAACACCAGCACCCACAATTTAAGGTAAGAAATACTATTATTTCTGTTGCATTTGTAGTCTTAAGCAGTAAAAAAAACAACATAGTACATCACAGCAATGAACTACAATTACATATTCACTTTTATTTTTGTAAGATCTGGAGGTCTAAAAAAAAGTTTTCTGTTTTTTTGAGGCTCCTAGGAATTTAACCCTATTTGTCTTATAAGTTCTTCAGTTTATCTAACATAACATGGCGTTTTCAGGAATGTAACTACCGTGTAATATAACGGTTTACTGTATAGTACTAAGTTAGCAGTAAAACTAGGCATTAGAAACATTAAAAAGTAAAATACACACGCAGTACACCCATTACTTACCAAAAGTATTTTTAGTTTTAATGTAGGGTGAGAGGTGAGTATTTATTTGTAGGAAGTCAGGTGTAGGAGGTATGGTAGCCAGCCAGGCCAGCCCACCCATATGTACACTATGATATTTAAAGTGCCCCAGACCGATAAAATGCATATACAGTACATTCATTACTTACCTTAAAATATTTGTAGCCTTAATGTAGGGCGAGAGGTTTACCTGAAGTTTACCTGGAGAGGGTTTCGGGGGTCTACGCCCCTGCACAAACTGATGCTTTATTACAGCCACAGGCTATCTCTTGTCTAATATCTCTATTTTCTTGATTAACTCGAGGACTTAAATGCTTATACCTTTTCTTGCCTCTTTCAGCAACACTGGTATGCCTACTGGGTGCCATGATTGCTTGGCACATACAAGATATGGTAATTAAAAGACCAAAACACAATTCACAAACAGCTAGCTCCAAAGATAGAATGGAACTGAACATGTATTCACGAAGGCTGGGATGGTGGTGGAGGAAGTGTTGGGGGTGGAAGGGGATGGCGAGAGGTCTTCCCTACTGACCCACAAGGTGGTAGCTTGAACTGAGGAAATTTTTTCTGCACCCGCAAATGGAATCGTGTAAAGTTAATTTTATGAAATGTTGTATAAAAGTGCACTGCAATTTTTCAATAGTGCAATAACCAAAACATGGCACATTAATCTGTGTAATATAATCATTTACTGTATGTTAGCATAAATTTGTTATCTGGCATTTGTATGCATTTATGAGTGGACCAATGGCATTCTGCTTTCCGGCGATGTCCGCTTTCCAGCGGTAGCCTGGAACCTAACCTGCCATATAAGTAGGACCCTACTGTACTTACTGCCACCTGCCTACCTCAATCTCTTCACATTATACAAAGGCAGTTTATTAACCCTTTCAGGGTCTGTACCGTAGTTCTACAGCTTTATGTTGAGGGTTCAAACCATAGAACTATGCCAAAATTCTAGTGGCATCAAATTTAGTGCAAGAAGGCTGATAGGCCTACATCTAAGATAACGGGTCTGCGTGGTGTGTGTGCACCAAAAACAAAAATTCTAGGCGCCCGCATGGCATTGTGGGAACGCCACCTCAGTAAGCTTTATTCACTATGCCTCGTGGTAAGGCAGCTCTCACTCCAAGGTGAATTGGGACTCTCCTCTTCCTAACTAATAGTTCTGACTCTGATGGAAGTAGAAAAGAAGTAGAATTCTATGGCTTTGATCAATTAATGACTGAAAGCAATGATGTCTAGTATCCACCAGTGACCGAAAGCTTATGATGTCCAGTATCCACCAGCAAACCGGATCCGGGATTAGCAGCAAAATTCCAATTTTGTTCCCACTCCCCATCAGTTTGACGACTCTCAAAGTGGAATATTACCAGCTTGTTCCCTTGGAAACACTGCAAATAAACTGGAATTTTTTGAACTATTCTTTGACCAGTCCTTGATGGAAACTATTGTCAGGGAAACTAACAAGTATTTTGAATACACAATGACAAATACGATCATATCACCACAGTCAAGACTACACTGGTGGAAAGAGACAACTGTGGCTGAAATGTATTTGCTTTTTGCAACAATAATGCTTATGCCTCATGCCTATAAGCATAATATAAAATCATACTTGTCCACAGATTGGCTAATTTGTACCCCGGCCTTCAGTGAAATCATTCCAGTGAACAGGTTTATTTTACTGTTACGTATGTTGCACTTCTCTGACAAAACCAGGCCTGACAGAAGTGACAGGTTATACAAGATTAGAAATGTTTTTATGTATCTGAAACAAAAGTTCAACATGTACTTTTATCCATTCAAGAATCTTGTGATTGACGAGTCTTTGATTTTGTTCAAAGATAGACTGTCGTTCAAGCAGTATATACCGAGCAAGAGGAAATGCTTTGGTATAAATCTGTTTGCATTCTGTGACTGTGACAGTGGCCTGGTATTGGATATTACTGTATACACGGGAAGTAAAACACTGAAAGATACCAGGATGTTATTCGGTATCTCAGGTGACGTAGTGAGAAACATGATGGCACCTTATCTTAGTAAGGGGCATACATTATGTAC